GGCCGAGCCAGTCCCACTCAGTAACTGGCTGGACCCATGCACTCCCTGTCGGGAGGAGCTCCTGGCCCTGCTTCACAGGGCAAGGGCCCAGTGACTCACTGGGGACCACACGAAGGAAGGCGGTGACCATGCCACAGCCATCCCTAACTGATCCCAGGCTGCTGGCCAGCGTGTTGTGCCTGCGAGGACAGAGCTGCGCTAGTGTGTGGCAAGGCCATGGGAAACAGCCCCCTGCCCAGGCCGTTCAGTCCGCAACAACGAGGGTCCCAGGAAAACGCTGAGGGCTGCCAACGTCCTGCACAAAAACACCACCCTGCCCTGCGTGGCAGCTCTCAGCAAGCTTTTGGGAAAGAACCAGTGAAACTAGTAGTTACTGGTTACTGCAATGGGTTGCAGGTGCTCCTGCCTCTGCTCCAGCACCCTGGCAATGCTGCAGCACGAGTGGCCAGGCAAGCACCTTCCTAACAAGCCCTCCTCATCTGACGTAACCTCCTCCAGAGAAGACATGCACTATCCTGGGACCAGCATCTTCCTACCTGCCCGATACCGGTTACTGTCCAGAAAAGAGTGGGAGTTGCCTTGGGCTGTCCAGGGGATGCAGCTAGACCAGTTGCAAAGAAACCTCTGCTCATCCCACAGTGTGAGTACTTGCTGGCCTCTGCAGCTCGAGGCTGTCTGATTTGCTGATACTCGCTGAGGAATGTGGATGTCAGGACAAGGCCAGCACTTAAATGAAGAGTGAGCTTCTGAGCACAAGTGCCAAACCCGTGCCCGGCAGCCCAGGCTCACAGTGGATGGGCTAGACAGCGAGTCCGGCCGTGGCTGCACTGCTCTGGAGGCTGAGATTCCTCTAGGCAGGCTCAGTGAATCCCAGAATCCCAGCATGGCAGGGGTGGGAAGGGACCTCTGTGGATTCCCCAGCCCAACCCCCTGCCGAAGCAGGGTCACCCAGAGCAGGCTGCACAGGACTGTGTCCAGGCAGGCTGGGCACCACTGGAAAGAGTCTGGCCCCGTCCTCCTGACACCCACCCTGCAGATATTTAGAGGCATTGATAAGGTCCCCTCTCAGCCTTCTCTTCTTCAGGCTGAACAAGCCCAGCTCCCTCAGCCTCTCCTCGTAGGAGAGATGCTCCAGTCCACTCATCTTTGTAGCCCTCCACTGGACTCTCTCCAGTAGCTCCTCATCTTTCTTGAAGTGGGGAGCCCAGAACTGGACACAGCACTGCAGATGGGGCCTCACTAGGGCAGAGCAGAGGGGAAGGAGAACCTCCCTCGACCTGCTGCCCACACTCCTCCTAATGCATCCCAGAAAAAAAAAGCCCAGCTTCTAGCCACATGGAAAGGTTTTCCAGAAGGATATATGCCCAGGACCTTACAGAATACCAGAGCTTGGCAGTACATGAGCAGGGATTTGGTTTCTCATTCAGGCACCTGCTGGTATCACACTCCTCTGTGAATTTCACCCCATGCATTGGCCCATCAAATGGAGATCCATTAGGAAGGTGTTAAAACATGAGTTGATCTCAACTGCTTTCTGGAGAATTAAAATACCTCCCACACTTGTTTTACATCATGTTGATGAGGTCTTGCCCTCTAGCAGCTCCCCACATTCTCCGATGGCCACCTTAAGTACACCTGACCTTCCCGTCCTTCTGTGTTCCAGTGCTTGTTCGCACCGGCAGGCCCATGGGGACAGGGAATTGTCACCAGCCAGCTGGTGGGTCCTCAGCCCTGGGCTCAGGAGCACCCGAAGCACAGGCTGCCGGAGCAGAGCGGGGGCTCGGCTGCCCACTTACCGCAGTTCTTGAGGGAGAGCAGGGGGTGGTCAGTGGGCAGCGGCTCCGGTGTCGTGACGTCCAGGCCCGCTGCTGCGATCTGGCCGTGGGTCAGCGCATCGTACAGGTCCTCCTGGTTGACCACGGCCCCCCTAGCAAACACGGAGGGAGAGGCTGCCGACGTGTCCTGTGGGCTCCAGGTGGCACATGGCCAGGGCACAGGCCATGCGGGACAGACCAGGTGGTGACACCCGGTCCCCAGGGCTGCCCGAGCGGAGACCAGGCCCCCTCCGACATGCCTGCATCTCCCAGCATGGAGAAGAGCTCAGGCACGTGCAGCACGGCGCCGGGACAGCCGTGGAGGGAGGTGCGGGCAGCCCAGGGCATCCTGGGCGGGTGCCACATGTGGGCTGCATGGGTTGTGCCCCACCACCGCAGGAAGGCAGGGGGAAGGGGAGGCTACGGCCGGGCTCGGCAAGCAGCTCTGCTGCAGCTACCTCCGCCCCAAGAGCAAGGCTTCTGGTGGTCACAGCCCTCTCCTGGGAAACCTTCAGCTTCACCCTTCCACCAGCCACCCGTCTGTCTATCCACCCCACCGGGGTGGGACATGGGGCCTGGGGAGGAGACGGAGGCTGCAGCCCCCTGAACACCTTACCCTCCCAAGAGACCTCATGCTGGAGGGAGCAGGGCACGCAGTACAGCTGCTGTACACGCTGCCTGGACTCCCAGAGGAAGCACATCTCACAGCCCACCCGATTCCCCCCGCAACCGCAGCCGCGCAGGAGCAGCTGGGCTGCAGTTACCTGCTTGTGTTGACGAACACGGCAGTCTTCTTCATTCTGGCGAAGAAGTCCTTGTTGCACATTCCCTGGGTGGCCGGAGTCAAAGCACACGTCACCACAACAAAGTCCGACTCTTCCGCCAGCCTCGTGAGTGGGACTGTGTGGAGGAACGCTGGTCACACCTCTGCTTGGGGACCTCATCAACACAGTTCAGCAACCCTCTTACCCCTAAGATTTGCCAGCAAGGGAGTGCTGCTCTGGAGAGACCTTCTCCACAGATGGGGAGATGCCATGACCAGCAAGCACCAAACAGAAACCACGCATGTTCCTACAGACACTGCTGTAGCGTTTCATTTCACTTTTAAATTACATTCAAGCTGTAGAGGAATCTGGTGATGCTTCAGCCGTCTGGCCCAGATGAGGCTCCGTTGTGTATTTCATGTTTAGACAGCAAAACAGGGCGGCAGCAGCTTACACCAGCAATAAATCTCTCTGGGCGGTACCTACAGGTAACGACTTGCACATTCTTGGAGGTGAGAGGGAAGTGCAAGGAGCATGAAAAGTTCTGCCAACGACTCTGAGCGAAAAAAGCACCAACTGAAAACGTGCTGGCTTCGGACTGAAAAATCCGCACCTGATGCAAGCCTCGTGACTCTAACCGGCCCATGGAAAAGTCCTGTTCAGCAGCTAAGAGACACTCCCAGGCTTGGCTGGACTGTGACATTCATTTTAAAGCAGGTGAAAGCCAATGTTTGTGTCCAGCAACCAACATCTACTCTCAGTGATGATCTGTGGTCAGCCTCAGCCCACCCTTCCTCTCTGCAGGACGTTTCCTCAGCCATCCCATGGGGGATGACCCACAGACCCATCCCCTCCTCCCAGGGTCTCCTGCTGCTCTCCTCTTTCTGTCCATTACACTCTACTTCGTTGTGGGAATGAAACTGTCTGGAAAACACAAACGGACGGACACAGGGGGAAGATGAGGGGCAAACCCAGCAGAAACCAGCTCAGTCCAGGATTGCGGTGGGTGGTCGGCCAGAGCCCCGGTGCGCCCAGCCTTCAGGCTGAAACTGCGCAGCTCGGAAGGGGCAGGTTCCCCCCCGCCACCCCCACTGCTGCACGGGAAGCGTTTGGGACCTGCCATTCCCTCCCGTCGGTGCCCCACCGCCGCTCACAGCAGCTGCGGCCA